TATCCTCATTTTGGGGGACTATTTTTTTCTTTTTGCTGTTCTGATTGGGTATTTTTTTTTTTTGCTTCCTTATATTCCAAGTTACTAATGTGATTCTTAGCTTTGTTTACTCTTTTATTGATTCCCTGTAAATTATTCTTCATTTCAGTTAGTGTATCCTTCATTTCTGACTGGTACTTTTTTATGCTGTTGAGATTTTCACTAAGTTCTTTGACTGTCTTTATAACCAGTGTTTTGAATTTGCATTTAGTAGATTGCTTGTTTCCATTTTATTTAGTTGTTTTTTTTCCCTGTGCTTTCATCTGGGACATGTACTTTTTGTCTCTTCATTTTGGCAGCCTCCTGGTGTTTGTTTTTATGTATTAGACAGAACTGTTACAACTCCCAGGCTTGGTAGCATGGCTTAATTTTGTAGGTGTTCTTTAGTGTCCAGTAGCATGGCCACCCCAATCACCCAAGTCAGGCACTTGAGGTGCTCCCCCCATGAGGGCTATGTACTCCTTTTCTCTTGTAGTTGAATCTGGATTGCTGTTGGCACATCAATAGAAGGCATTTATCCCCAAGCCAATCTCCTCCAAGGATGCTCAACCACTGACCACTGGCTTCTGATCATGGTGGGGGATCAGCTGTGTAGGGACCCACCCCTCAAAGCAGGACTTACTTCAGTGGGGTTCTGGTGTCCACTGAGTCCACCCCTTGAGTGTGTTGCTTTTGGAGATAGTTGGGTATTGATGCTGAGAAAGTAGAAAAGATAGTTTTCATGCTGCCTGTCACAACCAGAACCCATAAGTAAAAACAAGAATTAAATCTTTGTGAGCACTTATTTAGATAGCCAGGATTTTAGAAGATGGTAGTTTATGTACCCTCAAAAAACATCTTAACTTCTTATTTTAAGTTGACCTTTTTATAAGAAGGGTAGGTAAGGGGTTTCGAAAGGTTAATTGGATAAGAGTTGCAGTTTGTTAGTAATTTTTCTGGTACTTCTTTATCTGTTGATCAAGGGTTCTTTATCTGTACCAGGGGATTACCTCCCTGGAACACCTGGCTCAGATACTACCTTCAACATTTGCAGACCCCCTGGGGCACAAAGTTTGAATTGCTTGTTGACTTCCTGGAGGAAGTCAATGTATGGCATGGTCATACATTCCAGCTTTGTACAGTATTAATCACTTAAGCCTATCCACTAAGGCTAAAAATCTTTAACTCTTGAGTTCCCCTATCAAGGTGTCCACTAGATATGCCGACTCTGAGGACTCCTGGGAGGTGTAAGTCAAGATCAGCAGCCACTTGTGTTCTGCCTAGGGCCACCCAGCACCAACTGCAAAGCCGGCTGGAGATGGCTATTACTTGTCCTGAACTTGGAGATGCCCAGGCATGGCCAGGCTGCAAACCAAGGCCAGTAGCTGCTAGTGCCAGGACTGAAGACACTTAGCAAGAGGTACAGGGCATACTGAGAGCCAGATACTGCTAGTTTGAGAAACTTTAGGAAAATCTGAAGCATGAGCCAAGACAAGCCATATGTATAGAAAATCCACTGGAAAGAAAAGATGGAGACAGTAGAAGTTAGATGAGGTAGAACTCAGGAAATCACCAGCACAGGGCAAATAGTGTGAGCCAAGTTGATAGACTCTCAAATATGGGGCCAACCTGCTGGCTTTGTGGGGGTAGGACTTAGGAAAAACACAAGGGACTCTGACAGCACTTCTGTCTAGGAGCAAGCAGCACCCCCAGCTCTCATCCCAATGCTGGACAGTTCAGTTTTTTCCCATATGTCTTGGGTGCCTTTCATCCTGCTGTCCCAGTGCTAGAACTCAGAGGGAGTGAGTTCAAGTAAGTCCATGCCTGGGCCTTATAAGAGGAACTGCCAGAGACTCCAGGAACCCTCCATCTTCTTCACCCAGAAGTTATGGGATCTCCTCTTCGTGGCACTGGAACCCTGGGCTGGGCACTTGGTGTGGGAATGAGACCCCTTATTCTTAAAGGGGAACCTCTGCAGCAGAAATATCCCTACCAATTTTATCTGCCATACATGGGTTTGGGACCAGTTCATTCTGCATCTCCACTTCTCCTACCAGTCTTGATGTGGCTTCTCTTTTAATTCCCTAGCTGTAGGACTTCCATTCAGCCAGACTTCAGGTGGTTCTGAACAATGGCTGTTCTGTAGTTTAGTTGTACTCTTGATGTGGTTGTAAGAGGAGGTGCATACTGCATTTACTTATGCTGCCATGTTGCTTCAAAGTCACCAGTTTTGTGTTTCTTTATCTCAAAGCACTTACTCCAGACACAATGCTAATATCCACAGAAGATTTTTGTCAGTCATTTATACCTTTTGGTGACAGATTTGCAGATTCTTTCCTAAGAGTAAATTTTAATACATGAGATAGGAAAAGTAAGTGAGAACAGCAACACCTGAAGGGATTGGAGGGAAAAGATGCAAATCTGAGAGCCTCTCAGTTTTGGATGGGGCAATCCCTAAAGCCACATAAGCTGCTTACAAGCCCGGTATTTAAAACCTTACCAACAGAACCATATGCACAATAGGAATATGGTTCTTAGAGACAAGATAAAACTTAACCACATACTATTTCTTTCCACATGCAATATACTCTGGATGTAGACTTCTTTGGCAAGACACCTGAAATTGGCTGGCTTTTCACCTTTCTTTTAACTTATCAGAATCTGAAAGAGGAAAGGTGCTTACTAATAATAAATGTATAAATGCGCACTTCTATTGTCAACTTATTCTAAACAGTGGCATTGATTAAATTAAATGGTGAAAGAAAGGGTTTTATTTTTTCCAATAAGTAGTATTAGAGCAACTAGTTATCTGTAAAGAAATATATGCTAAAATTGTAGGCTATTTTTCATGAGTTCATCTTCTCTGAACTACAAGGTCCATCTGGAATATAATATGAAAAGTGATCCACTTACTCAATGATGAAACCTCCCTGCATGAGACATATACATTGTGGGTTCAATGGGTTTGATGTGCCAGCCTACAGGTCACCATGTAGATGGCATTTCAGAGGGAAGTGCCAAGTTCCCTACAACTAACTTATAAGCAAAGTTTTTCGCCCATTGAAAACAACCTGTTTTTTAATATGTGAAGCAGTCCCCTAAGTAATTTAAAGCCAGCAGAGTTCTGATCATTTCTCACCTCAGAATTCCTCGGCAGAAGCCTATCTGTAGAGTGATAATCATCACACTTACTGATGCTGATGACCCAATGTACTCACCTCGGCTTATGTCTACATTGGATCTTCCCACTGAGCTCATACAAATTCACTGGGGACAGCAGCAGCTCAGACCTGCCTCAGGTGGTACCCAACCTGTAATCATGGTTGATTGAAAAAGTGGTAGTTTGAGTCCAATCTATGCCCCCAAATCACAGCAGGTATTGCCCTTCTACCTTCACAATGTGCACACAAAACCAGAACTTTCTCTCAGTTCACATCCTAAGGTTACAGAACAGAAATCAGTTGACCTAGACTCTGGTCCAGCTCAGTCATTGGTTGGCAAGTGATCTTGAGCAGGATATTTATTGAATGTCTGCTACCTGCAAAACATTGTTCTAGGCTCTGAGCTCTGGGAATTTAGCAGTTATTTCAGGCAACAGAGTATACAACTAACCAAAGTAACCACAGATACGAATAGTGTTATTAACAGAGAAGATGACTAGTGGGAGGTGGGAGAAGGCCTCTGTAGAACATGACATTTCTGCTAAGATGTGATGGAAAGGACTCAGTGAAGAACCTGGGAAAAAAATATTTCTGGCTCAAGAACAACAAGTACCCAGAGGCTGAGGTGGGGAAAAGCTTGGCATGTTCTGAGAACCCAGTGAGGCCAAGACATTCAGAAAGCATTACTGGGGAAAGTATATGAGATGAGGTTGCAGAGTTAGGCAAAGACTAAATTATACAAGACCTAGCGGTCTGATGCGGACTACAGCCCGTGGTGTCTGCAGTATTGTGGATGCAATGAACAAATTCACTTGGACTGCAGAAGTCCTGTGGAGAAAAGGGACAGCACGGCCACTCTCTGAGAGAGAGGGCACCTCGACCCTTGCCTGGACAGGCTTTTATTGCTTTCTGGTAGCATTACATCAAAAAAGGTTCTCGTTCATTATGCTCAGGTTCACTTTAAGTTATTACTTCTTACAGATAACAAAGAAAAAATGTTGCAAATGCAAGGGAATGATACAAGTGATTAATCTGGTTACAATCCATCCTTAGGATGGCTTAGTGCAGACTTTAGGGAGTTGCTTCAGAGATATACATTAAACATCTGCTGTCTTAACTCAAGGTGAGGGAGTTTTAGCAAAAGCAAGCCTCAAAGCAGCCTAGATATAATGCAGTTCTGGTTCCCCATGAGAAAGCCGATGAGTGGGCCTGGCTTCTGTGTGCCACCTTGCACCTGTCAGTTTTCTGAACTAGGACTGAGCTACATTCACCATTGCCACACAGACTGGTTCCCTATAGTGGTCCATGGTAAGGGGTCTGGATTTTTTTTCTTCTTAACTCAGTGGAAACATATTAAAGGAATTTATCTAGGGGAGTAACATTGTCTAATCTGTGTTTATAAAAGGTCAGTCTGATTGTTGTATAGAGAACAAACAGCACATAGTATTTATTGGGCAAGAACGTTTATGTGCAGAATTTTCTGATAGAAGGATGGAGACAAGAAAATAAACCATGATTTTGTGGCTTCTGACTTGTATGGCTAGGTGTGTGTCAGTGTCCCTGGCTGGAAGGCAGGAGACTCAGGGAGGAGGACTCGACTATAATACAGGCTGATGTCTAGACTATAGCTATGACCAAACACAGAAATATTCATAGCCAAAGCCAGTTGCTTCTGTCATAGATCTTGATGACCTCACACATAAATCACACCAGCACCCTCCCAGCTACAAAACTTGCCAGCCTTGCTTCCTGTCTCTCGCCACTGTGGGCCTCCATGATTTTTACATCCATTTACTTACTTACTTACTTACTTATTTATTTTAAAATAGAGAATGCTTCATAAATTTGCATGGCATCTTTGCACAGGGACCATGCTAATCTTCTCTGTGTTGTCCCAATTTTAGTACATGTGCTGCCAAAGCTAGCACTACTTTATTTTTTGCCACAATAAACATATATACAGATGCATATAATGCATCATTTTAACCACTTTTAGGTGTACAGTTCACCGGTGTTAAGTACATTCACATTGTTGTACAGTGGATTTTTAATTTTAATATGTCATTATTCTCATGCCCTGCCCCACTCCTTTCCCCTGAGAGTCTCAGGAGAAACTGTGCCTTGGGATCTTACTTCACTCACCAGTTCTCTTTCTTGTGTCGGAAACTACAGAGAAACAAAAGCTAATAAAGAAGGCTCGTTAAATAGGCATTTCAAACTTCTATCCATCAAAACAGATTCATAGATACAGAGGACAGTCTGACAGGTGTCAGAGGGATGGGTGTTGGAGGGCTGAGAGAAAAAGGAGACGGGATTAAGCAGGATGAAAATTGGTAGTTACAGAATAGCCACAGAGATGTAGATTTCAGCACAGAGAATATAGTCAGTAATCTGGTAACAAAGAAAGAAAAGGAAAAAAACAGGAAAACAAATAATAATAATAATAATAATAATAATAATAACAACAACATCATGACAACTATGTGTGGGGCCAGGTGGATACTTGAAGCAGGGGGGAGACCCAACCCTGTAAAGTACATGATTTTCTAACCACTTTGCTGTACATCTGAAACTAATATGGAATAATAGTGAATGTAAACAGTAAACAATAACATAAATTAAAAAATAAAACTTATACCCAAACAGCGTAAAAGGAATAACCAAATTCTCATGATTTATAAAAAAGAAGTTTACAAGAACAAATCATTTTAAGGTAGCAGTTATTGCAATTCAATTGAGTTGAACATACAATTTTATATTTTTATAATTTTAAACATTTTATTGGAGCACTAATAATTTACTACATCCACAGCCAGTGTAAGAAATGCAAGAAGTTTAAGTTAATTGGGCTTTTTATAATAAAATAACTAGTTATTTTATGAGAAAATAAAATAAATATTTTATGGCTTCAACGCCAGCCCACAAACCAGGGTCGCCAGTGCAATTCCCAGGCAGGGCACATCTTGGGTTATGGGCCAGATCCCCAGTAGGGGGCGTGCGAGAGGCAACCACACATTAATGTTTCTCTCCCTCTCTCCTTCCCTTCTCAGTCTCTAAAATAAACAAATAAAATATTTTAAAAAGTAAAATAGCATGTAAGAGGTTTTGAAACATTGGGAAACTCTGGCTGTGGCCTCAGATTTCACAACTCACCTGCAACAGGATGGAACCATTGTCAGAGAGTGCTGACAGTGAGTTCTTAGGGAACTCACTAAGTGTAACTCTTCCCTAAGTGTAGTTCTTACTACATCATGACTCCTTGTGCAAACCCATTTGTTCAGCTTCAACTACAAGCTCCTCCCAATCCCTGTTAGCTATTCTATTGGCAAAGCAGGCAGACTTGTCTCAACACATATTCATTTTCCTTGCGCTCTTCAGGAAAATAAAACATTCTATAGGTGGAAAAACACCTATAGAATGCAGGAAAAAAACAGAACAACCCTCTTAATTTCATTAAATTCTATTATAAAATTACTTAAATATTTTATCAGGAAAGCTAATTTATTCTCAGAAAGCGATAATGAATTATGTCATACAAAAATATTCTGTATTAGTCCATATTTGAAAAAATTTTCCCTGACTGATGTGGCTCAGTGGATTGAGGGTCCACTGACGAACTGTAAAGGTTGCTGGTTCCCTAACGAGGGTCGAGGAGCCCGGTGCTGCCTGCCGCTTATCTGCCGTTTATCTATGCCGGGCCAGATAAACAAGGTGGAGGGCCAGATCGGCCTGATGGTTTTCTGTTTGCCACCTGTGCAATAGAGCAATCATACAGATACTTAAAAGTAAATGTGCATTTAATTAATTGCATGTTTTAAGTAATAATAATTAACACAGAGATAATTCTGTTTCGCTTTATATACAACTATTAACACAGAGATAATTAACACAGAGATAATTAACACAGAGATAATTCTGTTTCGCTTTATATACAACTATTTCCTTCAGCCAGAGGCACCCAGACTACCTTGAGGGGAATCAGGATATCAGAGTAGGAATGTGAACACAAAAGCAGTATTTGCTTTGGGGCAGTTTTTGCTTCTAAAAGAAATCATTGCAAATCAAGAGAGAATACCTGACAATAACAGAGCACAGCCTCTAGAAAGGGAATAGAAGATAGGCTGTTTACCCTACCTGTGACCACTGGGGAGATTCAGAGGATCACCTTGACTAGTTGGTGAACAAAGAAATGGTCTATGACCTTGGAAAAAGTTGGAGGCCTGGATACAAAAGGGCCTGACTTGAGAAGCTCAAAGGAAGAAGTCGAGGATTATCTGGGGCCAGTGATGAGCCAAAGTCTGAAAATGACTAGTGACCTTTTGAGTCACTACACCATGTCATCCACACTTGCTGTTCTCTGTACGTGGGCAAAAGCATTCCATGGACAGCATTCTGCATAGTATTTCTTAGACTATTCAGCAAGACACCTACTTACCTCCAGGAATTTGTCAAGCACCTGCCAAACTACAATGAATGAAGCACCTTTCTATGTAGAAATGTAGAACAATCTCCAAAATAGATGGAGAGGGATAACACAAAGTGTATAATGGTTTATGTAGTAGGGTACCATTTAATCATTTATAAAAGAAAAATGTATATGCTGTATATGCATGTGTATATATGTAGGTGTGTAGCTAAGTATTTGCACATTTGTAAAAAATATCTCTGAAATCTGCAAGAAGCTGGTGACAATAGTTGTCTCTGGAGAGTGGAAGGGTGGCTGAGGACTAGTGTAGGTGAAGAATTACTTGTATGGAAAACTCCTTTGTTCCTTTGGAACATTTTTATCATGCGTGCATGTTACACATTCCAAAAGTTGAATAAAATAATACAAATAAATATTCATACAAAATAATTTTGCTAGAAGATAAGTTGCCTGCAGAAACCCTCATGCATGTACAAAAGGGGAAAATGCAATATTGTTTATAAGGGTAAAAACCAGAAACAACCAAAATCTTCATCAGTAAGGTATAAGTATGTAGAATATGGAACAGCATACCAATTTACATAGAACGACTAGAGATAATAGGTAGATCAATCTATTATAGAATAAAGGTAAAGCAGCCCTGGCTGGTGTAGCTCAGGATTGATGTAGCTACCATTGGTGTAGTTGGTGGGTTGAGCACCAGCCTGCGAACCAAAGGGTCACTGGTTTGATTCCCAGTCAGGGCACATGCCTGGGTTGCAGGCCAGTTCCCAGCAGGGGACACAAGAGAGGCAACCATACACTGATATTTCTCTCCCTCTCTCTTTCCCTTCCCATCTAAAGATAAATAAATAAAATATTTTAAAAAATAATAAAGCTAAAGCAAATGAATTAGATTGATCTATCTGCACATCAACATGGAATAACAAAAACATGTTGAATAGAAAAATTCATAATATAGAATGTGTGTTCAGTACATGATCTAGCTAGATTTTTTTTAAAAACTAAGTCAAAGTATAAAAATAAGCTAGAAAGATACTAAATTCACAATGTAGTTTCCCTTCGGGTAGAGGGCATAATATTTTTTGAAGATTTTATTTATTTATTTTTAGAGAGAGGGTAAAGGAGGGAGAAAAAGAGGGAGAGGAACATCAATGTGTGGTTGCCCCTCACGTGACCCCCACTGGGGACTTGGCCTGTAACCCAGGCATGTGCCCTCACTGGGAATCAAACTGACGACCCTTTCGTTCACAGCCGGTGCTCAACCAACTGAGCTACACCAGCCAGAGCTATTTTATTTCTTAAAAACAAGTATAAAAATATATAGAAAGCATGACAAAATATTACAAAATGTTGAATGATAGGACATAGGAGTTTGTAATTTTATTCTTTGTGTTTTTCTGTGTTTTATACAGTTATACAAATGTAAATAAATGTAAAATACAATTATCCAGCCCTGGTTCTCTAGATAAATCCTTTTACTTTCTTTATAAAGTTGAGTAAATTCTGAATAATCAGTCTTGTCATTATAAATTTACTTAAAAAAAATAAAACTTAGACTCTGGTTGTTGTGGCTCAGTGGATTGAACGCCAGCCCACAAACCAGGGTCGCCAGTGCAATTCCCAGGCAGGGCACATGCCTGAGTTGTGGGCCAGGTCCCCAGTAGGGGGCGTGCGAGAGAAACATTAATGTTTCCCTCTCTCCTTCCCTTCCCCGTCTCTAACATAAACAAATAAAGTATTTAAAAAAATAAAATAGCATGTAAGAGGTTTTGAAACATTAGGAAACTCTGACTGTGGCCTCAAATTTCACAACTCACCTGCAACAGGATGGAACCATTGTCAGAGAGTGCTGACAGTGAGTTCTTAGGGAAGAACTATACTCCCCTAAGTGTAGTTCTTACTACATCATGACTCCTTGTGCAAAACCACTTGTTCAGCTTCAACTACAAGCTCCTCCCAATCCCTGTTAGCTATTCTATTGGCAAAGCAGGAAGACTTGTCTCAACACATACTCATTTTCCTTGTGCTCTTAAGGAAAATAAAACATTTTATAGGCGGAGCTCAGAACAACCCTCTTTAAAGACAGGAGTCTCCACGCTTACCTGACACTTCAGTTCCAGTATCCTGCCCAGCAAAGAAGCGATTAGCCAAAATGATGCCTGGAGGTTTAACTAAAGCCAAACCTGCTACTCCAGAAGTCCAGGAGATTGCTGATGAGGTGAGTTGAATGCACCCCATGGAATGGTTTAATCTAAAATTTTAGTTCCTAGGTGGGCCCTGTGTTAAAAATGTGAGTGAACATGAAAACCAGAATACTGGGACATGTGTAGTTTTTTTCAGGCTTTCTTATAACGAAGAGAGTTTTCCTCTTTTAAAAGATGAAATAATATCTAATAATCTCGACTGTGAGAATGAGCTTGAACAAGTCATGCACCCTCTCGGAGCCCCAGTTTCCCATTTGTAAAAGAATTTTTATTGGATCATCTCCAAAGCTTTTAC